GTTTTTTTTTTGTAATAATAGTTGCAACGTTTTCCTGTTATAATTATATTATGATAATCACTATTGCAATAACGGCTTAACGATAATAGTGCTCACTATGTCGGCAAATGTATTTTTTTTCTGTTTTCATTCTTCCCATTTTTTTTTTCGTTTATAATAAAAATAACGCGGCATTAATCGTGATGCCGGATTAGTAAAAATAATATTTAAAGTAGTAATACTGAACAGTAATCAAAGTATATAACAGCGATGACAGTTTTCTTTTTTTTTTTTTTAATAATTGATATGTCGCGAAAAATTGTTAACGCGCTACATTCCGCGATATCATCACATTTACAAAAATCTCTTCTTCTCCTTGTTTTTTTTTCTTATCATTTTTCTCTTTAAAACTTTGATTATAAAGAAAATCTATTTTTTTTCTTTTTTTTTGGAAAAGAAAACAATTGTTCTCTTTTTTTATACATTTTTAAAAAAAAATTTCTCACCCGAGGCTTATTGATAATTTTTTTCTTCTTTCGAAAATTTTTCTTGACCGAAGACAACAAATTTTCTTTTTCATTGCACTTCATTTTCTTTTATATATCTTTTATTATAGTGTCAAGACTATTTTTTTTTTTTTGCTGAAAATTTTTCTTTTTTATTTTAAATACTTTTTTTTCTAATCAAGTTTGAACTTGATTCGAAGGAAAAGTTTTTTTTCTCCAATTTACTCGAATCAAACAAAATTATAATTGAAAATAAAAATTAATTATATTATTTTATCTTTAACGAACGCTCATTATCTATACACATATATTTTTGTTCATTTCAAACAAACGTTACTAAACAAAAATTGAGTTTTAACAGATTTTTTTTATTTTTTTAGCGAAATCAAACAAAATTTTTTTAATTTGAGACAAATATGTTTTTTTTGTTTGTTTGATTTGAGTTTTTTTTTGTTTCAACCCATTGCTTTAAATTGCACAAATTTTATTTGAATGGAACAAATGTTTTCTTTGGCATACGCGGTTTAAATTGAGTGATACTCTCGAGCGAGATTTTCGTGAATAATTTAAGAGAAAGGGGCGTTTAGATGATTTATCAAAAATTTATTTTTTTGCGATATTGAATTTTTCAATGAGAGAGAAAATTTGTTTTAACTTTTGAAAAGTTTTTTTTTTGATAAAAGAAATTAATTTTTTAATTAATAATTATAATTATAATTAAAATTATATTAAATATAATAATTATAATTATATTAAATATAATTATTATATTTATTTAATAATTATAAATAATTAAAATCATTTAGTTAATTAACAAAAATTAAAAACAAAAAATATTAATTTTTTATTTTTAATTATTAATATTTAATAATTAATAATTAATAATTGATAATTAATACTAAATAATTTAAATTTTTTTGTTTTGGATTGAAATTATCAATTTCGAATTAAATATTATAATTGTTTTCTTTTTAAATTTTTCCATGTGAAATTTTGTATTTTTAGTTTTTGTAAATTAATTTCTATACATTCATGAAAAATATTATATGTAAATTCGCGATTTTTTAGCATTTTGCAAAAATATATTTTACGTAAAACGGTGAAAATACAAATTAAGAATAAATTAAAAAAAGAATATAATAAAAAAAATTATAAAATGTTATTTAAAAATTAATATCACTATCGTAATTTAAAATTTTTCCTTTAAAATAAATAATATCTTAATAGACACTAAGAATTATTGTTAAATTTAAAATAAATATTTTTTTTTGATAATAATTATTGTAAATTACAATAAAATAATAATTTTTTAATTTAGTAAAATAGTTATTTTTTTAATTAATAATTAATTTGGTTAATTATATAACAATTATTGCTTGACATTTGTTTTAGTGTTAAAAGAAAAGATGAATAATCTAATGAGTTTTGTCTAAATAAATTTAAACAATAATGTAGGTAGATTTTTAGAGAGAAAATTAGTCAGAAGTTTAACGACTTGTAAGCGGATTTGTGTTTTGCTGAGCAAGATCGATCGCAGTTCACTCACGCACAAAAGACTAGGGTAGCAAAATCTTTTCTATACACGGTCAGGGGTAACCGTGGGGTGTCACGTAGTTACCAAAAATTTAAACGATATAAAAAAATTACATTCAAAAAAATTTCTAAATAATATTTTTAATTTCTCGCAAAATTATTATTTTATTGCAATATTTTTCTTTGAAATTAAAATTTTACCGATTTTTATAATCTTTAATTAGCTTAAACAATTAAATAATTTAAATTATAATAATAATAATAATAATAACAATAATAATCATTAAAATTAACAATAGACTAATTAATTATTTCGGTAATTATATGCTAATAATTACCATAATTTCAACAAGTATATTTAATTACAAGACATTAAAATTCTTATTAATTTTATAACAAATATTTTTGGTTTCAAACTTTTTTGTGAGTTGATATTTAATTAAAGTAATTAAAAAGTAATTTTTCTTCGCTAAAATAATAAATTAATGTGAAAGTAATAATTTAAAAAAAGTAAAAAATTATTTATATAGATAAAATTTTTTAAAATAGTGTATAACGAATTTTCACATACTATAAACAATTTTGATAATTAAAAAATTTTAATAAATTTAAAGAAAATTTAAATTAAAAAAAATTAAAAAAGAAATTTACAGCAATTTAAACAGTTAAAAATAATTTAAATAAATTAATTGAAGAGAGTAAAATATAATTGATAACAATTATAATTTAATTTCAACTAGATACGTAAAAATTATTTACTTATTAATTGAACTTGAAATTTAGAATTTTTTTATTACCGAGTATTGTTTTTAAAATCTAATCATCTAATTATGGATAATTCATAAAAAATCGTTTTTTCTTGTAACGATATTTTTTTTTTTTCTTTTGAAATATTAAAATCGATTGTTTTATGATCATTAGTATTATTAATTGTTCAATTCTTATAAAATTGAAAGAATATAATTAAAAAATTTAAATATAGTTAGGACAAATACAAAATGTGAAATTAATTAAAAATACTAAAATGAAGAGAATTTTGGAAAATTTTGTAAATAATTGTGAATTATTGGAAAATTGACAAACTTTTTCTTTTTCACGGTCAGAATAAGAAAAAAATTCGAGAAATTAACAAAAATTTCTAAATTCAAATTTCAGAATAATAAGAACTATTCTTAAATTCTGTATATTTGGAAATTTTGTTATTTTTCGTAAATTTATTTTTCCACTTTTATTAAAATTATATTTTTTATTTTAATTGGTGTACGTAATTAATTACTTTTCTCGATTAATTATAATTAGAATAAAAATACAAGAAATAAGTATATAATTGAAATATTGTATAATATGATACAAATATGCCTGATATATATTAATATATCGGTATATTATATATTTATTACATATTTATTATTTATTATTTCTCGAATTATTTATTTAGAATTTTACCAATACTCGAAATTATAATCAATTTTTTATTAATTATAATTATAAGTATTAATTACAAATACAGTTTTAAAAGTGGAAAGTTTAATAATCTTGACTCGGTTAAAAGTTTGTTAATTTTTCAATAATTCTCTCTTTTCTATATATTTTTATAAATTCAGATTTTCTCCCACCAATAAAAAAATTAAACTATTTTTATCCAGCACCAACAATATATATAATATTTTTCTAAAAAAAATGTATAGATTTTGTTCTCTTTCCACATTTAGTTGTAATGTGTAAAATATTTGTTCAAAATTTCTTCTTTTAATTGATAATACTCCTAAGAATTTATATTAACAGATTTTTATAAATTTATATTTGTTAAATGATTTAATTGTTACTAAAGTAAATCTATTTGCTATTAGAAATTAAAAAATTTTTCTAGTTAAATGTTAAGTTAATTATTTTTAAAAATTTAATTTAATCATTTAATTTTAAATCATAAATTTAATTATTTAATTTTACATCATGGATTTAATTTCTATTTAATTCGAAATCTAATAATTTAATCGATAATTTGAAGTTTTCACTAAAAAGAATTTATTTTATCATAATAATCAAATACTTGATTTACTAAATAAATGTTTTATTTGAATCGAAAAATTTTTATCTCCAGCAAGTAATTTCTATTTGAATTGAATAATTATTATTTTAATTAAATAATTTTTTATTTTATAATTAAATAACAAACTAAGAATTTTTTTACTCAATCAAATAATTATATCTGAATCAAATAATTTTTAATCTGGATCGAATAATGATCGTTTTGATATAACAATTATTATTTTGATTATTAAAAATAGTTATTAATAAATAATAATAAATTAATAATTAGTAACTTTGTATCAAAATCGATTTGCAAAGAAAAAAAACTATTCCAATCACTTTTTGCATTTGATTCAAATAATTAGTTTATACAAATAAATATTTATTTAATAATAATAAATAAATGATTATTTTAATCAAATAAATTTCTTTTTTCACTGATAGTTACTAATTTTTACTATACAATTAGAAAATTCTTGGAAAATTCTTTTTCCACTTTTTGAAAATAATAAACAATTTAATATATTTGAAAATAAAAAAAAAATTTAACTTGTACTTGAATTATTCTTTAATCGCAAAAAATTTTCATTGATAAATAAAGAAACAACTAAATTCTTTCATAATTTTGTTTAAAAAAAAAAGAAACAAAAATCTGAATCTCGCTACGAGACCGATACGATATCTTTGTTTTCCCACACTCAACCAAAACAAAACTGACACTAAAATAGGAATATCGTATCAGACTCGAAGAATCTCGCTTGGCAATATCACTGTTTGTGCTTAAGCATTTTTTATTTAAGGGCATGTGGAACCGCTGCCAACTTCAATTGATTGTAAATGTTGTAAATTGATTGTAAATTCCCACCGATTTTTTTTTAAAGAATATAAAATAAAGCTTGAAAAAATTAAGGGAAATGTTATATTTAAAATGTAGATGTATGGATTTTTTTCCTTAAAAAATATTTATATTTATTCATTTAGTGCGAAAAATAATATTTAAGGGAAATTTTTGAATAAAATGCGTTATAGAGATTCATGCGTTTACGTTTGAAACAAAATTCTGAAGACTATTTAAATTTTTGAGCTCAAATCCGAATCTTTGGTCAGAATTAAAAAAAAATTCAAAATGGTGGCTCCAAAATGGCGACCGAAAAATTTAAAAGTTTTCAAATCTGGTCATTTTGAAGCCGTCAGATTGAATTTTTTAATTTTGATCAAAGATTTGGATTCAGTGAGCTTTTCAGACAATTTCCGTTAACTTTTAAATTTTTATCGCCATTTTTAATTATTTAATTCTGACCAATGATTTAGAAACGGCGACCAAAAAAAACAATTCTATACCAATTAAGGGGATTATTTTATGTTTTTTTTTAAAGAAAATTGGTGGAAATATTAATCAATTGAAGTTTTGCCTGATTCAAAATGCCCTGAAACAACTTCTTTTTTTTTAAATAATAATTTTCTACTAAATTTGCTCTACAAGCTGCTTTTTTTTCTTTCTCTGACATTTTGGATTCGTGTATTCTTTTAGCAGTCGACAGAGAAAATTAATGGGTCATTAAGAAACGAAATCATAAATTGCGGCTTGTATGTGGGGGGGGGGGGCTGGCCTTGAAAATTATTTTTTCTTCTATATTTTTTTCATATATATATATATGTATATAAAAAAAAGCATGAATACGTGAACGTTTAGTTAATATAAATGCAGAGTAAACGTATAATATCGTCCACTTTACCCTGCTGATGATTCAGTCTTGTGAGGAGTAGCATTCCGGGATGACGATGAGAGTAGTCTTGTAGCCTCGTGCGGTTTTTATGATTCGATTTATCTTCCCATTCTCGTCTTTTTTGTGTCCAGTCTTGGAAAAAAATTTGATATTTGGTTTTGTCTTCCTTCAAAATCCACTTTGACGATCTTCCTTTCAAGATTTAGTTTGAAGATGTTCCTTCAAGATCTAGTTGGAGCCATTTTGTTGAAGAAGTGCAGGTGCCGATTGTGGTGGTTGGGGAATGGTGTCGTGATTGGGAGCAATTGGCGATGGGGATCTACTTCTGGTTAATTCACTAGTGGCGCTGTTGGCGCAATTTGGATTTGTTTGTTGTTCGAAGGATTTTTGTTCGCTGGGTGGTAGAAGGTGGACCATGTTGACTGGTACTGGGAAGGCAGCGCTGAAGTCGGGGAAGAAGCCTTGGGGTATTTGACCACCTAGGAGTGGATGATGGGGGAATGGATTGTCGTCGGCTGGATGGGGTAGGCCGGTTAGGGGATGGGGCATTTGGGGTGGTTGGACGGCAGCCTTGACGTTGTTGTTGAGGGAGTTCATTACTTCGCCGGTGGTGGCGCCGGTGCAGTCCCTCCTGAGTTGTTCTAGCTTGAGACTCTTGCCGTACTTCCCTCGGACGTACATTAGGAGGCTGTTGTATGGAATGCCGAATATTCGACTCGCCTGGGAGGTGGTCATTTTTTTGTTCCACACGTGCTGAAGGGCCTCGGTGAGTTCGGCGTTGGTCCAGGATCGTGGTGGTCCGCCTCGGGGGGCGCTGTGCTGGCCCTTGGGTCTGCCGACTGGGAGGCCGCGGCCGTGGTCGCTCCATCTTCTTGGTCCGTCGTTGTCGCCGCGGTGCTTCTTGGATTTCTTGCTGGGGTGGTGGCCGAGACTGGCGCCGCCGAAGAGGCCGTGGAGGGTCTCGGGTTTGAAGCTGTCGTGGAGGTCGGCGAGGAGGGAGCCTCGGTCGAGACTGCCGCCGTGGGGGAAGAGACCCGCGGCGCCGCCGAGAGGTGGGACGCTGTCCATGGGGAAGACGGCGACTGATCTTCTGGGCGCGAGGGGCGAGTCTTGAAAGGGATGAGGTATGTTGTGGGGACTGTCTTCTCGGGGATGGTGTCCGTGGGGGTGGTTGGGGATCCACTGGGCGGCGAGTTGGCCGAGGCTGGTGAGGTACTCGCTCTGATGGTGCGGCGGAGTTAGGGAGAGAGCGGAAATGGTGGGAAGACTCGGTGGCAGGTCGGGGAGGGAGCCTTCGGCGTGGAGACTGGCGCCGGTTAGGGGTGAGCCTCTTGGGCTGCTGGCGTCCTCACTTTCGGTCTTGATGTTCTGCTCGCTGATGCCGGGCGGGGAGAGGGATCGCTTCATGGAGAGGTTCTCGGCCATGTCTTCCTGGCTGGACTGATGATGTTGAGTATTGATAAGATTTAGGCCACTGGGCGGTGGACTGAGACTGGCTGGTGGATGAGGTCGACTGAGATCCTGAGGGACCAGCTCGCCGGACCTTCTTCTTGGTCGGGCTTGCTTTCGTCTTGGCATGAGGAGGGAACCACAGGTGTCACGAAGCTCTCTGAGACTGAAGTTGAGGTGGCTCATGTGAGGTAATCTGTGGTCCCTGGTGAAGACCTCACGACTTGGTGTCGCTGGGCTTTCGGAAACATTGTCGTCCTCCTCGGGTGTGCCTTGTCGGGCTCCTTCGGGCGTCGATGGTTCACCCATCAGGATGTCCGTGGTCGGTGTTTCCGGGGGACTTGCTGGTCTTGGCTCGGATGAAGCGAGACCTCGTACTTGTAAACTCTCTGCCGCTCTCATTAGACCCGGCAATTCTTCACGACCCACTCGAACTTCACCGCGATACATAAAGTCGATTAGGGCTGCGACCTCGCGGCCCGGAAAATCCTTTAACACTATTACCGGATGCTTACAGGGATGCTCGGCGAATATCCTCTCGAAGAAGGGGCTGAAACAGAAATGATAACATGAATCATCACAAATATCCTCTCATGGATTTTCGCATAATTATTCGCTTCTTTAAGAATCTAAAACCTATTTGACATTACCGACTGTCGATATTTCAACTAAAATTAGTGTAGAAGTAGAATTTGACATTACCGACTGTGGAAACAGTAGGACCAGGGTCAAATTTGACATTACCGACCGTCGATCGAAAAGTTTTGTTGCTTTTTACCCATAAAATTAGAGACGGTGCTAGCAAACTAAAAATTCAGTTTCACTTTTCGATTAAAATAAACAAAAGTTTCAGTGCGTGTAACAATTAATGATTCTTTTCGATTTCTATATTCCTACGTTTACACAGAGACCCCCCGTTTAAATACTTGATTGAAAATTTTAAAGCTCTATTATAATTTTTTTTTCTTTTCAAATTGAAATGTTTCACAGTTTGATTTTAATTGAATTTTTCAATTTGGAAAAAATCATTTCACCTGTTTCGAAAATTATAGGGTAAGCAGTGTAGTAAGTCTTTTTTTTTCATCGATGGCCTATTTTGAAAACATCAATCACTGATCCTCGGGCGTGACGAATTTGTAAGAGGCTTAAAATGATCCGTCGATAGTTGTAAAGTCATCGGTGTTTCATTCTGAGGGGAATTTCGTATTGAACCGAATCGTAACCAAAGAGGGGAAGCGAAGATGAATGGGGAGCTTTATGAATGAAATTCTCTCTTGGTAGGAAAAGCCGCAGTGAATGTTATTTTAAAAGACTTGACTATTTCTCTCGTGTTATCTTTTATCAATAAAATATAATATCGGTAATCAAAGAAGAGGGGAAAAAAAATTGAAAATTTGATAAAAAATAAGATTTTTAGAAGTAGGATTTTTTTCTTACCTGCAGGCACTGAGGACGACTTTGTGCGCCCTTAGACTGGTTTCTGAACATACTAGGGTGACGTCGACGAGAATTTCCGCATGGAGTAGCGCTTCAAAGGCTTGCAATATGTGGGCTTGATGATTGTTCCATCGGAGGGAATAGTGTGACTGTAATGCCATCCCGTCAGGACTCTCCGCGACGCTCGACATATTTCTCTCTTCGTCGTTTGTTCTTTAATTTTCGAGGAGCCACCTTGCCTATCTTTGCCTTTCACCGCTCCTCGTTATTCGCCTCCTTTTGATCTTCGATTTTTCCATGCACGCAATTTTGACCCAGATTTTTTCTTCCTTTTTTCTACCCACACCGAATTGGGGGGGGTGTGTTTAATCAAATTTCTCTCCCTGAAAATAAATTTTTTTTTATTTTTAGTTACATTGAAATTTAAATTACATGCGGATTTATAGACATCTCATTATAAAATTTGTATCGAATTATAATTATTTATAATAAAATTCGTTATATTCAGTTTCTGATTGATTTATACGATTAATTATCATTTATTATGAAAATTATAACAATTTCGCGTAAATTTCGTTATTTTAATATTAGAAGTAATGTAAAGTAATTTTGCACCATTTGGATTTTATAGTATATATAGAGAAAGCGATAATATGTATATATATATTCAGTGCGGGATAAATATCGTTCCTGTGAAAGGAATTCTACGTCGATTTGTGGCCTTTTATATATTCACAATGCGGAAAAGTTGAGCAATTGAAAAATAAAAAAAAAACTTCGTGACATCTGCGTGAAACAATAAATGTTTCTTAGAATAAATTCAATTATATATCGCGTACCTTAAGCAATTCGTATATATACATATTTTAATTTCTTCACTATATTAACAATTCAATGACCCACCTCCTTCATATATTTTATATATTAAATGTCGACAAACTCTTCAGTTTCTTATATATTGATTTTAGTTTCTTTTGATACACATATGTGTATGTGATTTCAGTTTGTAAATAAATAAATATTTTATTGTTATTCTCTTTTCATTATATTTGCGGGGAATTGTCATTGAATGGTTTACACTTGACTTGTGTCATTTTCATATAATATATATATATGAAGAAAAGAATTTTTATTTTTCTGAGTAAAATTTATATAAATGAAGTAAATTAAAAAAACCAAGTAAATCAAGTAATTAAATATTTTATATTTTTTTAAATTAATTCTTCAAAAATTGATTCTATTTATATAGTTAATACTAGACTGAAAAAGATTTATTTCATTCAAATAAACGATTAATTGCCCATAAGCAAATAAATATTTATTTGCATTAATATAATTTTTTGCTAAAACAAATATTTTTTTGAAGCAAATAATTTTTATTTAAATAAAATAATTAATATGCATAATAGTAATAAATATTAATGATAATAATAAATAATAATATTAAAAAATAATAGTAATAATATTACAAAAGATCGAACATCAAAATATAGATTATAGGAATCAAATAAAATAAACAAAAAATAGAAATTGCGGATCATGATAAAATAATGATGAAAATCAAGATGAAAATAGTATAATAAAAATAAGTAATAAAAACTCTTCCGAATGATTTCACATTTATATTTTTTACATTAAAATCAATTTTTTGTTGTTTATTTCTCTTTTTTCAAGAACTATTATTTAATGACTGAAAATATACATATATCGACTCTTGAGAAAAACGATATTGTTATATGTGTGTTAAAAGTTTATAACTGTAGAGCTTGAAATTGTTTTCTTTAAAACATAATTTTTAAAGAAAAAAAAATACTTCCTGTGTGCAGTAAATATTTATTTTTAATGTGTGTATTATTATAATATGCGGCAACCCTGAGATTCTTATCATTATTTTTATTAACATTCACGTTTTAAATGTAATTTGTTTCGTTAAAATCATAATTTTCAATTGACATGTTATAAATACTAGCTGTAAGTATATAAAGAAATAGTTATAAACTATGTATTCGCTGGTTTCTTCTTTTTTTTATGTCTTCTATTGCAAAAAAAAACTTGACTCATATTTCACACGATGACTCTTTTTAATTTACAATTTACACTCTATAATATTTATCTACTATTGTTTATATTCAATTTTCACACAATTTGCTACTTATGTGACTTTGTTCTAAAAAATTATCGTGAATCATATATATAGAAATATAGTTATAGTGTCAAAGCAATTATATATTTAATTGACTATAGTGTAAAAACGTTTTTTTAGTTTCTTTTGTTGCTTTTTGTACATTTGTAGATTTCTAAAATTTTTCTATATTTTTCTACATTTTAGATTTTCTTAAATGTAGTTTTTTAAATTCTTTTTTAAATTCGTTTTTAATTAAAATATTAAAAAAAATTAAATTTAAACATTAAAATTTTTAAATTAAAGAAAAATAATTTCTCCGTTCATTATGAGCAAAAAGTTTTTGTGACAAAAGATTAATGAATTTAATAACAGAAAATTCTTATATTTCTTAAAATCGTAAATTAAGTTCATTAATATTTATTGGACTCGAGAAAATAATTTGCGGTTAAAAAATAAAAATTTGGTTAAAATACATTGTTTCAAAACAATTTTTTTTTCGAAAATTGAATGCGTGGTCAATGGGTTAAAATCTCGCGGATTATTGCAATTAAAAATCGACGGTTTCATTCCTTAGAAAGGTGAAATTTTTTTAATAAATAAATATTTGAGTTGAAACCGCATATGATTTTGTAAATTTTCCTTATTTTAATATTTTAATATCGAACGTTTATAATAATTTCGCGAAGCAAATAAATTTTAAAAATTTTTTAGGTCTCGAATGATGTCAATTTTTAAGAAAATGCCGAAAAAATTTCAATTTCTTAGTAAAAAAAAAAATTGATTATCAGTGCGAATTCAAAAGAAAAAGAAATAGTTTCATAGTAAATAATTAACTTTGTTTATTATATATGTATATATAGGGAAAAAGTGTATATTTCCTGTTAAAGAGAAAGATAATAATCTGACAAAGTGAAAATTATCCTCGTGAAAAGAAGTGCAAAAATGTTGTGGGTGCCGTGAAATTGTGAACCGTTACTGTGCGCGCCACGCTTCGACTCCTTGCAAATTTTAGTTGTCAAAGTTGCACGTGTCCATATATAAGAAAACTTTCTGTTCGATTCTAAACAGCTTAAATATATATATGTATTTAAATTTACGTTGTAATCTTTTCGTTCTCGAGTATATATATGTATAAATGCCAAAAATACATAATATTATACAAATAATGATTGACAAGAACACATTTTCATTTTTCTATATAAATTTGAATTTGTACAAAATAAATTTATTTTTTTTTTTAAAGTATTTATTTTATTGGAATTTATTTGTACATATATTTATATAGATAAAGCAAAAATTATTCCGACATTGAAAAATTATTCTCAAGGTAAATAAATTTGTAAATTTTCGCACTTAACAATTCGGGAATAATAAGAAAATTATATTTTTACTGACTTTTTGCTTTTGAATTAGTAAATTTTACTAACAAACAGTAATTTCTGCTAATTTATTGGTAAAATTTACTAATACAAATTTGGACAGTATGTTATTTAATATTATACTATTATTATTATTATTATTATTATAATTTTTAAACTACTAGTAGTTTAGATAAAGGTCTTTAAAAAATAGTCAATATTATTATTAAGTAAACAAATACTCCTTCTATTTTTTGTTATAGGTTTATAAAAATATTGAATAGAAATTATTTATGCAATATATTTGGAATATTTTTATGTTCTAATTTGTTGTCTATAATTTACCACTAGAAAAAATGTAATTCAAATGAATGATTATTTGTCTATTATTTAAATAAATATTTACTTGGCTGAGATAATTTTTATTTATTTCAATTAAAGGTATAATTGCTTTAATTAATTAAATTATTGGTTCAACTGTACAATTTAATTGACTTTAATAAAATTTATTTGATTCAAGTAAATATTTATTTGATAATATAATAATTATTAGAATAATTAGATTATTATAATATAATTTATATTATATTATTTATATTTATAATATAAAAATATATAATATTTAGATTATAATATATTAAGTTATAATATATTATGTTATAATAATTATATTATCATAATATAATTATTCAGTTATTTGAAAAAAAATTAATTTTTGTTTAGTGCCATAATAAGATTATGCAAATTGTACAAATATTTAGTTTGTTTCTTGAGATATTTGTTGTTTATTATCGGAACCAAATTTATTTTCATTACAAAAAAATAAAATAATTAAAGAATTAATCAATTACTTAATTAATTAATTAATTAATTAATTAATAATTTTAGTTTAATATTCTTTATTTAAATCGAATGATTTCTTTTTTTTTTTATAAATCGGATAAAGACGAACACTAATGATTATAATTAAATATATATAATTTTGAAATAAAAATTTGTCGTCTGGAAAAAGGAGGAAAGATTAGAAAATATTAGCGTGTGTGTATGTTTTTCTATATACTGAAATAAATCGTCGCATTGTTGACATTTTTTCGTTATACATACGTCTATAAACGTTTAATTTCGATTAACCTCTAGAGAAGAAAAATTGCTATATTTCATTGTATAGCGACGGTCATATGATTTCAGAATAGAAAATAAACAATTTTTGAAAAGAAAAATTGACGTATTTTTGGAGAAAAACATTATATTTTTGTTTCATACATCTGGCTCTGCGCGTGTAGGAACGTAAATTTATCTTATCAATATTTACTATATATGTATACAGATCAGGAAAAAAAAAAATTTATGTCGTGAAAAATTTCATTCATAAAATATATGCGGAAAATTTTTTCGATTATGTGAGATAATTATTTATCATTTAAATTAATAATATTTAAAATTACATCTTTTTTTTCATTTTGTATCTTTTAATTATATTTTTTCATCGTTATTTCGCATTTTTTGCAATTTACTTCCGTTAGTGTTAACCCTCTGTCACGTGTCTTTTATTTATTTTTTTTTAACATTTTCAAGATATTTTTATTCTACTTTTAATTCAAATAAATACTTCATTGTTATTATTTTTCTACTTTTAATTCAAATAAATACTTCATTGTTATTATTTAATAAATAATAAAAATGTTAATAATGCAAGTAAGAAAAAAGGAAAAAAATTCAAATAAATAATCTTTTTTTTATGCTCCAAAAATTCGAAAGTTTCAAATGATGAAAATATTTTTTTTTAATAAATAATATCAAAAGTCACTATCTGCATATAAAAATTTGAAACGTGAATTAAATTTAAATTTTGAAAATAAATTTTATTTATAACATCATTAGACGGAGAAAAGATTTTATCTGAACAAATTTCACTGGATTAGCGAAATTTTAAGTTGTTTTTGTGAAAACTATCGTTATTTTAAAGAAACTTATCGATATTCCGGTTTGAAGCATTTTTTCTATGTATATTATAATATGATTTTAATTTTAAAAAAAGATAAATAATTTTGCTGATTTGAATGTTTAAAATTTTGTTTTTTTAGGAAAAAAATTTTCGTTTTTGGAAAAAAAGTAAAAAAAAAAATGTGTTTTTTAGAAACTTTTTTAAGATTGTAAAGAAGGTGGTAATTTACTAACAATTTGGGTATTGAATCGTCTTTTAGTTCTAATTTTAATACCGAAATCAATTCTAATTTAGTTTCTTTTCTGATAGAATTATTGTTTAAATTCTTTTTTTTATATTCATTTTTTTAAATTCTTGTTTTAAAAATTTATTTTAAAAAATATCACTGTTAACTTGAAAGTAATAAATCGTAACCAATGGTTCAAATCATGAGTTAAAGAACATTTTTAGTATGAATTTGATTCATTTTTTCTTTTTGATACTTTTAAGAAGCATTATGTGATATTAAATTTATTAAATTGACTCCTAAAAATTTAAATTCAGGGCTTTAAATTTATAGAAAAAACTATGCACTGTTAACTTAAAAGTATATCAAATTGCAACGAATTGATACCAAAAATTTTGATCAAATCAAAAATTGATCTAAATTTTTAGCATCAATTTGATACTTTCAAGAAAACTGAGCACTGAAAAAACTAAAGATTTTGGATTAAAAAAAGGTTAATAGAAATAAATTACACGTTTTATTGTGCGATTGGAAAAAAAAAGAGATTTCCTACCGAATGTTTCCCTAATTCCAGAAGAGAAGCAAACACTTGAAAAGGTTTCTTTTTATATATATATATATAGTAGAAAAAAAGTCCAAGTACCTCGCAAAGATTTGAGCAAACTCTTGAAAAAAAGCTCCCTTCGACTTCGGTAACCCCTCTGTATAGACGTTTAGAAACTTGCAATCACAATAAAGGACACGTGGGAAGAGAGAGAGCAAGAGCGAGAGAGATCCTCTTTTAGCGCGCGATGGAATCACGTTGGCGCGAAAACGAGAAGCACACAGACGAACATCCAAAGCTTTTTACACATATGTATAAATTATCGAAATTTCCCAAAAAATAAAGCAACTCCTTTGAAAAATCAGCTGTGCAATCCTCACTCACATCCTCATATCACTCGGACTATTTTCCATCTGATCCTTATTATCATCATTTCTACAAAGTTCAAACACCTCACAAACATAACTTGCATATATATTTTTTTCGAAATAACAAAAAAAAATCTCATATAAAATATCACACCACAATCACTACATCACCAAATTCCTACTATAATTATATTGCACGTGAGAAGCAAAAACACATTTTTCAACACAACAATTATTGCACGATTTTTTTATTTTTTTTAATTTGAAAAACAAAAATTTATAAATTAAGATCGCGGTGACCGTCTTGGACTTTTAGAGAGAAGGAGATCAGAGAGGGGTAGGAAGGTATACATGAACAGTTGTGCAAAAAGAGAATCTTTTTAAAAAAAGAAATGAGAGAAAATTGGATGTGGAAGGGTAGAGGTCACTAGTGCACAAGAGGGAGGGGGGGGGGAGGTTTTAATAAACTGACCGTGTTTGGAGGGTATTTTTTTATGTTTTTTTTTTTTTTTTTTGCGTGTTACGAACGCAAAAGCACGGCCTTAGTCGGCGACGGCCGGTGAGTGAATGCGCCCGTGAAGTTCGGCGCCCCTCCTAAACACTCCCCCCGCCATCAAGCCGGTTGCCTCCCCCCCCTCACAGCCACCACTTCTTAACCGTCCTCATCCCCAACGGTTTCCCGCGACGCCCCTCCTCCCCCTACCGCGAACTCTCCTAACGCCCACCTTACCCCCCTCGTCCCAACGACCAACCTCCGCGGACCGCGAACTACCCTTTCCTTCTCTCTCTCTCACTGCTTTGAAATCTGACTCTCCCCCCAAGCCCCCCACCCCCTTTTGAAAGCCGTCGCTCGCCGGCCGACGTCTCCCTGCTGTGTTACATGTCTTACATACTCCCCCCCCTCTCCTTGGTTTTCGTTAACCCTTTTCGTTATAGGTTCTCTTCTTTATCCTTATCATACTATTCTGGTCTTATACTATTCGCTTATGTTTGGCACATAGGTGATGATAATCAAATCACGAATAAGGATAGAGAGGAATTTTTTTTAAATATATAGGTTCCTTTTTGATAGGTTAAAATATGACATGACTGTTTTTTGGATAGTATGAAATTGATACCAAAATATTTTAGTTTTCCAGGTGAAAAAGTTAACGTTAGTTAACATTAGCTAATGATACTAACGTTAAAATAACGTTAGGCTAACGTTAATCTATATCGTTAGTGACAGCCCCGGATTTATACAGAGGCAAACTAGGTAACCGCCTATGGTTCCCCACCATCTAAAATATTTTTTACAAAAAGTGTAAAAAAATTTTTTTAAAAAAAGTAATTTCCAAAATAATTTTAAGTGTTTAGAAATTTAAGTACCTCGCTTCCCAGGTGGAAAAGTTAACGTTAGTTAACGTTAGCTAATGCTACTAATGTTAGACTAATGTTAACTAACGTTAGGCTATAACGTTAGTCTAACGACATTTTTTGATCACTAATATCAGATTATAACGTTAGTTAACATTAGTCTAACGTTAGTCTAAAGTTAGTTAACGTTAGTAGCATTAGTTAACGTTAACTTTTTCACCTGGGTTAATTCATATATAAAATATACTTTACTTAATATTTTAATCTTGGTAAATTTTTGAAAAACCCTTTCCTTACATGGGGCCACCACAATAATTCGTTGCAATTTGATACTATTAAGTTAACTGTGGTAAGATAGAAAAATTGTATTTTAGAGGTCGTCCATAAATTATGTTACCAATTTTTCATATTTTTAGACCCCCCCCCTTTTTTTTTTTAAATTGGTAATGTAGTTTATGGATGGCCCCTTATGTCTTAAAATTAGATAATTTCTAAAGTACATATAGTAGAACCCCTGAACCTCTGTTATCCGAACTTTAAATCATTTTTTATGCGCGAACTTTTTTCTTTGCGCCTTAAACACAAACTTTTGAATTTTTACCAAAAATTTCATAAAAATAAAGAAATTATATATTGACCAACCACTGATTTTTAGTGTTAAATAAACTAAGACATGAATGACGCACATTTAATAGTGCATGATAATTTCAAAACAATCATATTTTTTCATAAATATGAATGAAAATAATTGCAATTTTTATTATGCTAAATAGGTCCTGCACCTTAATTATATAATATTATAGTTCGTGTTAAATCCGAATCAGTCCTCAGAATTGACCACCAGTATACTATAACGTTAGGCTTTCGAGATATTCTAAATCTAAAAGTGCAAAAATCAGGTTTTTTGACTATATTTCAGGTCATGTAACATCGAGAGGTGGTTTTTTTTTATCAAAAAGGCCGAAACGGCATATTTGAAAGTATACTATTCCTCGGCTTAAAAATTAATTTTGAAAATTTTAAAAATCTGTAGTTTGCACTGAATTATAGTCATTTGAAATTTTTGAGTTTGGTAAAAGACCCCGCAGCACTAATTGAGAGTCCTAATCAAAGAACCGGTTATAATTTTTTTAAGCTCAAAATCATTGCCCTGTAATTAAAAAATTAAACTGTTTTAAATCCCAATTTTTTAAAAAACATTTTGGTAATCTTTATACAAACACGAAATGTTTTTCAGAAATTGAAATTTTAAATTCTTTTTTTATTTAGAGGTCGAGAATTTTAAGCCTCAAAAACTTATAACCGGTTCTTTGATTGGGACCCTCAATTGCATTGAAAATTCGGCTATTCGGTTAAATTTCTTTATATTTTCAGAATTTATAGTTCAAAGTATCCTGAGTGATTAAAAAAGTTGTCCTAAAGTCAAGAAATAAATAATTTAGCTAATATAGAGGGTTGAAGGTATATACCACTTATTTTAGGAGACTTTTTAGGAAATAGTTATACTTTATCATAATAGTTGCAAAGCAATACGTTTTTATACGTTTTTTGTCTCAATTTGATATCCTTAGAAAAACTGGGTATATATAATTCATGAAAATTATAGTTCAAAGTGTCCTAAGTGTATGATGTTTAAAATAATTATTTACGTATGAATGATGGTAAAACATCATTTTAAGTCAACTAAAAAGACACAAAGTATAATTACTGTAGTTTTCCCTTTTTATATATATATTAGAACAAAGTATAAGTATAAAAATAATTATTGATGATATTATTAGTATACAAAAATTGTCGAAGAATGTTGCAACATGGTCTGTGATTAACCTGCCACTTCGATATTCTTATACTTTTAAATGCACTTTTATAAAAATTAAACATCTTTATGTTTAATGGTTTATTTATTTTATGGTTTATTTACCAACGTACAAAAGGCACTCAATAATTACGAATATTTTTTATTTCTAGTCGTTCCATGTTCGGGGTAGTTTTTGAGATTTTTTCAATTCAATTATAATTATTTTACTTCTAATTTCTTCTATGATAAGAAAACGAAATAGTTTTCTTCTTTTTAAAGAAAAGTGCTTCTTGTATGAAGATAATAACATTGCATGAGTCTGATTTTTAGGCAATGATATTACTCTTTTAGTTGACTTAATAATTTTTTTATTATTCATACGTAAAAGATGTTTTCGAACTGTTATTTTCTTAAAACTTATTATAGGTGGTTGCAAAACTTCGGGTAATTTTTAAAATCCTTAGATTAGAACTGAAGAACCAGTTAGAAATAAAAATCAAAAGTGTGTCAAAAATTATTCCAAGTTACGCAACTGGTAAAGTGTTTTATGCCATTTGTGGTCATGGAACCTTGAGTGCCATAAAACACCCTTTAAGGAGTCGAAAAATTTTAGTTGTAATTTTTGACACAATTAGAAGCAATTAGACGTTTTATGTCATTTGAGAACCAGTTGCCAAAGGACCCCGAAGGATTTTCATTATTTTTTGAAAGGCTCCCTTTAGTTTCAAGATACAGTCGTTTTGACATTCTAAACAAACAAACAAAAACTGACTTAGGACAAGTTTCTCAAATACCGATTAAAAGTTAATCAATGATTAAATCCTCAATCAACCAATCATAAGCCTTTAAACTGGCTGTAATCATTGATTAACTTTTAATTAAGGTTCGTGGAATTAGCCCTTAATGATAGAACATCCATATATTCCGGTTTGCTTAATTATATATCCAAATTTAGCTTTGTTTAACTAAATCCACATTAATTGTGTAACAAGATTAAAAATTTACAGGCCCCTTGGACGTATTCTTTGGTTAAAAATCCCAAAGTTAAAGAAGAAAAAAACCAAAAGTAATTTGAAAATCCTGTGCGGTCGTTGGAGTAATTTTTAAGAACTTTGAATTAGAATTGCTTAAGACGTTTTAAAAAGACATCTAAATGTGTCAAAAATTATTCAAAGTTAGTAAAACTGGTATATATATAACGTTTTATGACAATTATATGGTCCGAACCATAGATGCTATAAAACACTTTAGCAGTTGTCAAATTTAGAGTAATTTTTGACACAATTGGGACAGAAGTGAAAAAGTTTTGTGCTATATGTAATTTATAGTCTGTTAATAGTGAAAGCAAAACTCTGGGTAATATTTGACACTTTTAGTCTGTAAACAGGTATATGTATGCTGTCTGATGACATTTATGGTCTAATAATAATCGCTACAAAACTCGGAGTTAATTTTGGCCGCACATTTGGATCCAGTTTCCAAACTTGGTAATTTTTGAAAACTTTGGGTTACAACTGGTAAGGTGGTTCTGTAAATTTATTCAGAAATAATCTCGGGTACAGTTCTTCTAAGAATATCAAATTGAGACAAATAACGAAACATTTTGATTCGTTTTAATGTCTCAATTTCAAAAATAATTTTAACCAATTAAGTTTTTTTGTTTCTACGTCAAAGTATATTTAATTGCCGAACAAGAGAATTTTTTGTTGCACTAAATTTCTATTTTTCTTTAATTTAATTTTATCTTTTTTTCCTGACTTGGAGTGACTTGGAGTTTCATCGTTTTATTAATTTATAATTTTTTGTTTTTATTACAATTATATATAATAATTAATTTTCATTAATATTAATCCCTTAAGGCAAAAGTTTTTGTCAGTCAAAACTTTAACGCTCGATCGTTTTAACGTGCGGGTTAAAGTTTTGACTGACAAAAACTTTTGCCATTTGGCACTTAAGAGCGGTTAAAGTATATTATAGTATGACCAGTTAGAGAAAATTTAAAGAATAGTCAATTAAAATTTTCCAAAACTATCTTCAGTATATTTGAAAATAAAGTCAGTAAAAAATTGTATATATTATTAATTTTCTTTTTGTATTATTGTCGCAGGGAAAAGTAAAAAATCAGTATATTTTTTCTCTCACAGTTTTCTTGAAAGTATAAAACTGATACTAAACTGCGGATCAAATTGATATAAAAAATTTGGATCATTTAATTTAGATACCAAAAATAATCAAATTATAAATTAAAGCACATTTTTGGCATCAATTTGATATAATTTTGATACTTTTGAAGAAAGTTTGTGGATTTCTTGATTTTCGAAAAGAAGAAATAAATTTTAGGAAATTAGGAAAGAAAATTAACCCCTAGGTTGTAGCAAATAGAAAATTTGAAGTTTACCATCATATGCA